ATTCGTTGTTTGCCAACCGCCATTAAACACCATGAGAAGAAGAAGTCTGGGAGGCAGCAGTGCAGGGCTCCAGGGCTGTGCAGAGACCTTTGAAGGGGCGGGTGCTCAAATTTAAAAAGGGGCACACAGAATAATATTTTCTAACACCATGACATAACCACAGTACACCCGGCTGAATAACAAATCATATTTATTAGAAATTCAAAATGGAAGTGAATCATTATATACACCATAAGGACAATGTAAAGCAAAAGTAACTTGTTTTGGTAAATGGTCTGTATTTGTATAATGCCTTCTTAGGGTTCTACAACCCCCCAAGGCACATTACAACACAATCAGTCATTCACACACACACATTAACACACTGATAGTGATGAGCTATGATGTAGCCATAGCTGCTCTGGAGCGCACTGACAGAGGTGAAGCTGCTGAGCACAGGCGCCACCAGTCCCTCCGACCACCACCAGCAGGCAAAGCAGGTTAAGTGTCTTGCCCAAGGACACAACAGCATCAATCTCTGATTGAAGTCAGGATCAAACCTGCAACCTTCCGATTACTGGACAACCTGCTCCACCTCCTGATCTATTGCTGTCCTATTTTACCTGATGATGGGGTACAATGTAGCTGTTGCAGGGTTGCTCCTCTTGCTGCTGCTGATGATGCTGGAGGGCAAGGCTGTGTTGATCTCAGACTGTAGGTAGTAAAACGAACAGAGGAGGAATGTTAGTCAATTACAAAATTAATGTAAGATAATAAAAAAATGGCAAATATTGGGGAAAACTCTTAGAACTGTAAGACAGAAATATCTGAGACAAAACATGTGGTGAATAAATGGAAATCTAAACATTAGTGGATAATAGAGGAGTTTATGTCAGAGATAAGAATGTGACAGAAATATTAAACAGAAAGAGTTGTGTGTGTGTGTGTGTGTGTGTGTGTGTGTGTGTGTGTGTGTGTGTGTGTGTGTGTGTGTGTGTGTGTGTGTCTTCAATCTCCTCATGTGATCTGTCACTCTCAACTTGCTGTCCATCTGAGAACAAGGCAAAATTAGCTATTGTATGAATGAATTATGTAGTTATTCACATTAAACAGGTCTTGCACCTAATCCATGATCAAGAGTCTAACAAAAACATGTTCTGGCATCAAAGCATTGCAGTTGTGTATATTATTGTTTCTACACTTGTTGCTGTGATGCAACTTACCTGTACTGGTTTTTATCCAGCTGGTGAGGGACCCACTGCCTTTAGCTGCCTCACGTAGCTCTTTCTGTCGCTGCTTCCGCCTCCTCTCCTTACGACGCATGTCTGTACAATGATATATCATAATTAATTTACAAATATTTTTTGATGCATATAAAACTCATATATACACATACTCGTCGTCGTCGTCGTCGTCGTCTTCCTCCGCTTATCCGGGTCCGGGTCGCGGGGGCAGCATCCCAACTAGGGAGCTCCAGGCCGTCCTCTCCCCGGCCTTGTCCACCAGCTCCTCCAGCAGGACCCCAAGGCGTTCCCGGACCAGATTGGAGATGTAACCTCTCCAACGTGTCCTGGGTCGACCCGGGGGCCTTCTACCGGCAGGACATGCCCGAAACACCTCCCCGGGGAGGCGTCCAGGAGGCATCCTGACCAGATGCCCAAACCACCTCAACTGGCTCCTTTCGATCCGGAGGATCACATACACATACTGGGACATTTAATTCCTTTTCCAGAAAACTAACTGTATATAATTTGGCCACAAATTTGCTTCATGATGCTGATCCAGAATATGTCCATAATATTTTAATCATAGTGCTTTAGTTATTATAATAAAAATAAAGAATAAAACAATATGTTTATGCTTTCATTCAGTTTTACCATCTACTTTGCGCAAAACAGAGAACTGTACAGATAAAATAATTTTGCTGTGAAAACAGTAGTTTTTTTTTAAATGTACATCTTTAAAACATAATGTTTTTTAATACAATGCATTCAAAAAGAGAGCAAATATAAACTCCAACATTTTGAGAATATGCATAGTATTAATGAACTATAAAACCCACCAGAAGGGCTGAGAAACCTTAAAATCTAAAACAAAACTATGTTCCCTAAAACGCTGGACAGAATTTACAGACATGGACTGAATATTTAGTAACACAAAACTTGTGACGGATGTTACCTTTAGTATTTTTCTTATTTCCTTTCACAAAAGGTAGCTAAATTTTAAATTTGTTCAAGTTTTATCAGTCTGCGAACCAGGAAGTGAGTCTGTAAACAAGAAGCAGGGCTGTGTGAGACCCCAGTCACGTGACACGCAGCAGCGATAGGAATGCAACTTTGCGGCGCCTAGTTAACAACAACAACATTTTATTGGCAAATTCCCAATATTTAAGATTGAAAAAATATTTTCGTACAAGTACTTATGTACAGAATGTTTTTGGTTAATCCTAAAGCTACTGAGGTTCAGAATCGGTAAGTAGGATGCACACTACTATACATAGTTATTAGATTATTTTGTACATTATTACGTTGTTTTGTGGCACTAAGTGTGTGTGATATATTACTAGCTGGGTGTGTGTCTGTGGCTGGGTACCGGTGTTAGTCCGTTTCTCCCAATCAATATGTATGTCCTAAAAGCTCTGCACCGCTCCCTCAGCCATGAAGGAAACGTGGGTGCTGACCGGCTGTGCGCTCTGGCGTCAGGAAGGGAAGGTGGCCACGTGACTCACGCCAGCTATATAACTTTATTAAACAGAAATTTTATTAAGTATTATTTTTGTTATTGTTGAGGGAGCACAAACATAAAATTATTTTTAAATAAATAAATAAATAAACATATAAAAAAATCATTAAACCTCAAAAAGGGCACTTTGGGCACATGGGACAAAAGGGGCAGGGTCTCAAGTACCCCCCCCCCCCCCCCCCCTCTGCACGTGCCTGGTTCTGCTGTCCTCCAGGTTTTGTTTGGTTTCAACCCCTTTCGTTTGGATGAGTTTTTACTTTTTAGTTTAAACTCTGGTATGATCCAGAGGGATCTTTTTGTGTGCAGTTTGTTTTAAAGGTTAACTTTGCTTGGTGCAATTTTACTGACTTCGGTTTTAAACACCTTCGTTGCGGTAAAGCTTTTTAATGTAAGTTTTTACCAGGTGTTTTAGTCAGTAGATTGTTTTAGACTTTCATCAATAGTTTGCTTTTTCAGAATTCTGTAAAAGTGATTATCTTATCATGTACTGTGATAAAATGTAAGCGATACATTATTTTTCTAAGCACACCCCCTGCCCCTCAGAGCTCCGTGCAATAGGAAACTGAGCACCGACCAGAGCTAACCAATAGCATTAGACTACCGCTTACCTGCTTCAAATTTAAGGAATGCCTCGGCTAGGGTGACCAGATCCCAACTTGCCAAATGATGAGAATCAGCTCCTCTTGAATCTGGTCTTGAATCAGAAAAGGGTAGGATGACTTATCCGAATCAGGGACGAGGTCCTGTCCCAAGTGGAGGAGTTTAAGTATCCTGGGGTCTTGTTCACGAGTGAGGGAAAGATGGATTGGGCGATCGATAGGCGGATTGGTGCTGCATCTGCAGTGATGCAGGCGTGGTACTCATCTGTCGTAGTGAAGAGAGCTGAGCCAGAAGGTAAAGATCTTGATTTACCGGTCGAGATACATTCCTACCCTCACCTATGGCCATGAGCTTTGGTTAGTGACCCAAAGAACGAGATTGCGGATACGAAATGAGTTTTCTCTGCAGGGTGTCTGTGCTCTCTCTTAGAGATAGGGTGAGAAGCTCGGTCATCTGGGAGGATGCCTCCTGAACGTCTCCATGATGAGGTTTTTCAAGCACGTCCAACCGGGTGAAGACCTAAAGGGACACGCTGGAGGGACTATGTCTCTCGTCTGGCCAGGGAACACCTTGGGATTCCCCTGGAGGAGCTGGCCCTAGTAGTCAGAGTTGAGTCTGGGCCTCTCGGCTTAGGCTGCTGCCCCCACGACCCCACCCCGGATAAGCGGCTGAAAATGGATGAATGAATGAATTTAAACAGAAGTTTATCCTGTTTATAAAAAAAACTTGCTTGTCACTTTAGTTGGTTCTTCTTGTCTTAAGCAGAGAGCCACCAATGTTTTTATCCATTTAATTATTTCTGATTTGTCTCAGTGCTTCTTTCTTGCAAAAGTAGCATTTCCTCTACAAGGACTTGAAAACTTATGGTGATTTTACTCTTTTGTCATGAGAAGAGAAAAGCTGACGTTTTATTGTTTTATCATGGTTGTTGAGTTAGTAAAACAACTTTTATTTTATTTTGCTCATGCAGAATTCTGTAAAGAAAGCCTAAATCTTTATTTTATCCCACAAAAAACCCCACATAAGTCCCAGCGACCATTAGAACACACAGAGCTCCTACAGCTGACGGAGAACCAACACAGTCTTTATTCTAGGAGAAAAAAAAAAGAAAATCTCAATAATGTTTCACTTAAAGTGCTTGTGTTAAATCTACTGGTGTGCTTTATTTTATTAGAAATATGTACAGTTTGAACTCAACGAACACATGTTCCCGTGTTGTCCAATGATAAGGATATTTAACATTTCCAGTAGATGTCACTGTGTCAGACATATCAAGCACAGAAAGTCTGAGAGAAAATTATTTATTTTGTGACACATATTTAATGTTCTGATGTAAATTTATAAATCTAGTGGGAAAATCTAAGCTGATTTGTTCAGTTTTCTTTTATTTATAAAAGTTTAAAAGATAGAATTAGGCGATTTAACACAACAGGAATATTCTAGTGAAAATCAAAAGGGTTTTGTTGACACAAATTGAGCAAATTTCTCTTTAATCAGTTTCAACAAGTGGAAACTTTTATTGCCAAAACTGGATCCATGAAGTCAAGTCACAACAGGGAAAAACACCAAATGTCAAACTTTTTATTTTTCACTGAAATCTGTTAGTTTCCCCCTGATGGGTAACCCCCCCCCCCCCCCCCCCCCCCCCCCCCATCCCCCAGGGTATTTTGTCTGGAATGAAGAACACACTGATGAATGAATAACACTTAATTAATAGCAAAAATAAAACTGCAAGATATATTATGTTGTTGCAGTTTTTCAGAATAAAAGCACGGGTTGGTGAATTTTAGAAAACATGTAATACAACCAAGGTAAAAATAAAATAAAACTGTGTGCCTGAAACCTGTCAAAGACAAAGTTCCTTTGCTTAGTTAATCAGCCACATTTACGGGTGGCACATGAATACATTCAATTTTGCTCCTAATGTGAAACAACTAAGATTTTTTTTTGTATTTTTAAAACCAGGCTTGTGTGTGTGTGGGGAGGGGTGGGGGGGGTGGGGTGGGGGTGGGGTGGGGGGGGGGGGGGTCCTTTCAGAGTGACCAAATGCAGACGCAGGTCAGAGTTCACAGCTCTTGCAGAGAATCTGATCCTTTGTATCGTAAGGCTGTGCGGCTCATCCACCTTCAGATAAGAGAGGGAAGTCTCAGTAAAAGCGCAGTAAAACCTGCCCCGGTGGGCTCAGTGTCGTTATTTTTGCCCAAAACACTCACACGTTTAGATGAACATTCCTGTGTTTCATTCCTTTAAACAGAGAAGAATATTATCAAATGTTGCATGACATTTCTGTCAGGAGGAAGAAAAGGTGCCGCCACACTCACGTCGAAGTATCAGAAGCATTACTGTGCCGATCAGCGGGACCACAACAATTGGAACGACGATGGCAGCTGTGGGAACGCCTTGCGTGTTCTCAGCAGTCATCTAGCAGAGAGGACAAGTCACGCGTGATGAAATCCAAAACACCCTAAACTCTGACAGCTCCGGTCTGATACTTACAACAGATTCAGAGTCATTCGGAAATGTAGGAATGAGATTTTCCCTCTCACGATCTGTCAGACACGACCAAATGAAAAAATCACGCAGAAGGAGGTTTTAAAAACTCTCTTCCCAATGAAGCAATGCATGTACCCAAACACAGGAACTGTGATGGTGTTCTATTAAACCTGAATTTATGAAACCGTTTTTGTTCCTGGAGAATCTAAACGTCTACGTGGAACAATACCTGTTCCTCCAGTGGTCACAGTAAGGACATTACTGGCTTTACTGGTGCCCACACTGCTTTTGGCAAACATGCGGATGTTGTAGGTTGAAGGATTTATCTCTATTATTGTGGCGTCCGTCTCGTTGGGGCTGAAATCTACAACACTCTCGGTGTAATCCCACGAGGCTGTGGAGGAGAACAAAGGGTTTTACTCGATGAAGTTTGATGGAGAGGACCATTCAGTCAGACTTTTCTCTCACCATTGGCTGCTTTATACTCCAGGAAGTATCCAGTAATGGGGCTGTCTCCTTCAAACCCAGGAGTCCAGAAAAGAGAAATAGCATTGTCCTTCACTTCCTTCAGCTCAATAACGGGTGGATCAGGAGGCACTGAGAGGCGCACAGACGTCCGGTCACCAATCTTATCATTCAGATTTTAAATTCATGAACAAATTCCAAAACACACCCAAAGTGAGGGTTGAAGTGGTTTCTTCCCACGCTGTGGATGTTGGGACCATCTGAGCTGTTAAAGCTGTGTGAACTTGGAGAAGGGTAGAGAAGTTAGTTATTAGATCCTTTACTATAAACAGCTCTGAAGACAAATGTCATTTTCATGGGACAAATAACACAAACCTGGTGTGAGACTGGTGTGATGTGTCCGAGTTGTAGCAGCAGCAGCAGCAGCAGAAGAAGAGGAAGAGGAAGTTACGGTACTGGATGCTGCTGTTGTTTCTGGAACTTTAAATCAAATCAATCAAACTGAAGTTAAACGATGAGTAAATAAACGTATTTTAGTGGATGTTACTGCGCACCTTCATCCAGAGTGGAGCAGCGAGGGGAGTCTGAAGCGGGTCCTGTCCCTGCGCTGGTTTTGGCCTGGAGGCGTACGCTGTACCAGGTGGAGGGCTTCAGGTTGGTCAGAGTGAAGCTCTCCACCTCACGCGTGGCCGTCACAGAGACATGCTGCCACCTCTTGAACTGGTTCCCCTCATCCTCCCTGTAGCTGATGGTGTAACTCCTCAGGACGCCGTTCCTGAGATCCGTCTTCGGAGGCTGAGCAGGAGAACGCAGTTAGTTAAGTCAGATTGCGGCTGTGTGTTACGAAGCAGACGGAGGCATTACCTTCCAGGTGACACTGATGCTGTCAGAGCTGAGAGCCTGAAGCTGCACATCGAAGGGAGGGCCCTCTGGTACTGCAGTGAAATCAAATTTTACGTCAAACGGAGTCATTTCTTAGCTCCAGATGTCTCAAAGAGCAAGAATCTATACCTCCTTCCTTTGTTGTGATGGTGAGAACGTTACTGGTTTCACTTGTTCCCACGCTATTGGCAGCAAACATGCGAAGGTTGTAGGTCTTGTAGGGACGCAGATCCACCAGAGTCACCTGAGTCAGCTGAGGTTGGGTCACCTCAGTTCTTATGGCTGTATCCCAGGATGCTTAGGGACAGACATTACATATGCTCAACGATCTAAATCAGCTGTTCCCAAACGTATTGAGCCCTGCACCCCCTTCTAAGTCCCGACCTTGTTGATGCACCCATCCCCCACACCTTCAAAAAAGTGCCTTTTTTTAGCATTGAAAGGCAGTAGAAATGTATTTGTTTGGCCAAATACTTACCCATAATAACACGGCGGGTGGGCCTGCATCTTGGCTTCAGGCAGCTGTTTGCTAGAACCTCACCGCACACCACGGATTTGGGCAGTCTGCTTCACCAATCCAAGTGAAGTACAGACCCAAATAATTTTCATCATATTTCCTTCTTTGTTTCCCCGTCTGGTGTCTGCCCTCTTCACCTCGTTGGCCTTGGCCATCTCCTTCCCTCCTTAGCTGTTTCCTCCGGCTCAAACCTTTTCTACTCCCGCTCTTTTTCTTCTCCCGGATTTGTAATTCTCTCCACTGTTACCTCTGATTCATCACTCTCTTGGTCCCTCTCCTCCTTTATCATTAACTTTGACTTCGATGTCTCACCTGACACTTTCCCTGATTTCAGCCAATTGAGTATATTTGTGAAAATGAGTATAGAGGCCACAAGCTAAGAGCGCACATACAGTGTGTAGAAGAAGAAAAATAATTTCTTCTACACTTCATTTTAAGATGAAGGCTATTTTGAATAGTAACTATAATTGTTATTGTAACTATTTTAAAATTTACAAAGGAAATGTTTATTTATACATCTTTACTGTTTATTACATTTTTCACCTCGAGCACCCCTAGAAGCAGCTCTACACATTGGGAATCCCTGATCCACTAGCGGAAAAAGTCAGAACCGGGCCGAGGTGGAGCAAATGACCGAATCCTTTGTCCAAATAATAAAGGTCCTGAAAACATGATTTTAGCAGCGGCGGGCCGTGCATTTGGGAACTGGGCCTTCAGTGCTGGTTTACTGACCTAATATGTTGTTCCAATAGGGGCAGACTGGCCATCTGTGAATTCTGGAAAACACCAGATTGGCTGGTGTGTTCTAGGACCGCTGCCCCCCTCCATGTTTCAGAAAGAAAGGAGGCTACTAAAATACTTTCTTCAGGAGGGCTTCATGAAGATTTGTGTTACATACATTATCATCATGCAGCGGCAGATTGTTCATGGAGTGCACCAAGGGGGGAGGGAGGGACAGTACACTGTGTAGTTTCGAGATTACGCAGATGTTTATTCAATCAGTTAGTTAATAATAAAAAATTATGAAGATTAGAGCCCATTCTCCTCTGAACAGAAGTTATGGAAGTGCTTGTCTTCTCCAGCATCCTTTGTTTGTGTTAGAGGCACCTTTCCTCTCATCCACCTCATTGCAAGGGCATGCCCTTTCTAAGCCCGGGCCAGGGGCCCGCTGCCCCCCATCCCCTCTGATGCCCCGTCCCTGCCCTGATCTAAAGAACACTGTTTGGTGTCTTGTCTACTCTAGATATGAACCAGAAACTTGAGAACAGATGATTGTGGAGCAGTAAAGGATAACAGGAGATAGGACATGAAGGGCTTTAGACGTAAAGTTTCTGAGCATCTGAGTTGGCCACATGTCTCCTCAGATACTCGTCATGCAGACTGGTATTTACTGGTTTGGTTTATAAATTGCTGCTTTTGACCACTACTGCTGAATATTTTAATGAACCACTTTTAAACAAAACTTCTAAGTTGTTTTTGCACATGTAGCTTTAAGGCATTTTTTTCTCTACCACAGTCAGGCTCATGACCACTGACTTGTAAATGAATGGAGATGATTTATGCCGGTTTCACATTGGAAGCATCGGCGGCGCGAAACAGAAGCGGAACGGTTAACTTGCAAACTTCAAAGCGGTCCTTTTCACACCGTCAGAGTCTTGGCAGCGGCACGGCTTCCTCGCTGTGCTCTTCGCTGGACAAGCGAGATCACACGATCCCTCAAGACTTCAGGTCACAGTTTGTTTATGCAATCTGCCATTAAACCAAAAAGAAGGAAATCATGTTTGATATCGTTCTGGTGAGCTCTTTAAGTAGTTGTGGTCGACTATAAGCCTCAAACACATCAAGAGAAAAATACTGGGAACACAGCCGCGGATCTTTGGGAAGTTGTGTCCGTCCAAAGGCATCTTCCCACTGCTTTGTCCTCCTCCTGCTAGTTGGAAATCTGTGTAAACTCACATCACTCCCCTTGTTGCACTCTGACTGGAAATTACATCCAAAAGCAGCACAATGCCGCACTTTACTTAATTATTAATACGGTGAGCGCATAAACAAACACTAGCGTGTGTGTGTGTGTGTGGGGGGGGGGGGGGGGGGGGTTGGTCTGAGGGTCTTCCACAGAAAGATTTTAGTGAGTAGATGTTATCTCCTGCATTCTAGTGCCTTTTAACTGGTTGTTTAATATATTTAAATTATTGTTTTTAAATGAACAACTTAAACTTGTTATGGTTTAAAAACTATATCAAGTATCAATGAAATAAGATCAATATTAAAAATAACTTGAAGTAACATGCTTGGCTGGTTTGTTCATTGGTTTGAATGGCCTCATTTCAGAAATGTGATGAAGCATGAAGCTCTGCTGCTGAAAAAAAAAACTATACAGAATCCTAAACTTCCAGTAATAAATGTTGGATGTTGATTTTATATTACTCAGTGTTGGGAACATTACGTTCAAAAAGTAAAATGGCCTGTATTTGATATAGCGCCTTCTAGAGTCCTAGAACCCCCCAAGGCGCTTTACAACACAATCAGTCATTCACCCATTCACACACACATTTACACACTGGTGGGGATGAGCTACAATGTAGCCACAGCTGCCCTGGGGCGCACTGACAGAGGCGAGGCTGCCGAGCATTGGCGCCACCGGTCCCTCCGACCACCACCAGCAGGCAAGGTGGGTTAAGTGTCTTGCCCAATGACACAACGGCAGCGACAGACTGACCGAGGCTCGAACCTGCAACCTTCCGATTATGGGGCGAGCACTTAACTCCTGTGCCACCGTTGTCCTAGTAAGTAATTAGTTATAGTTACTGATTATTTTGTCAAAAAAGTAGATCTGTTACTTACTGAGTTACAAGATTATAAAAGTAACTAACTACCAAGAAAAATAAATATTTTGTAGCTTTTTACAGTAAAGAATGCAAGAAAAATGGGTTCCCCTCTTAACTAAACTTACTTAATTTACTATAAGTTACTACAATACTGAAATATAAATGACTAATGACTGGAAGATAATAAATGGGTAAACTTGTAAATCCACCATTAAAGATGTTAAAATGTATCAGCAGATGGAGGGTCCGCGGTTCATTTTGCTGCTGTGCGTTGTCCGTGTCAGCAGAGAAAGTAGACCCTCTCAAGATAAAAATCCATGTCGCTTAGATCCTCACACATTTTGTGGGGACCTCTTTGGTGGATCACGGACCCCTTGTTGGAAACTACTGGTCCGGGTTAAACAAGATGCTCAGTGAGTGGAAACATTGGTTGGAATTGCCCTTTAATATTTGGAATATTCAATTTGAAGCCAAGCTTTTAGCTTTGTCTGAAATTCCACAACAGAATGACGCTAAAATTACCAATAATAGTTTTAGATCAATCTATACTTATTTTCACCAAATTTTCCACTAATATCAACATCCCATTAAAAACACAAATCCAAACTTTTTTGCTAAGTTTTTTTCTTAAATTTAAAACCTAACAAAAACAATATAGATAGATATTTAGGGGAGAGAAAACAAAAACCACTGATTTAATGTTATGATTCTTTTTCCCAGAAGTCTCAGAATAAATAATCAAGGTTTTATTTAGATTGTTTCAACTTTTCTTTCACGTTGTTCAAAAGGGTTTGGTTATGAAACAACACAACCGCCTTGCCTGTGCTAGAATCTTCTTTGGACTTCTTTAGCCTGGCCTGCCAGACTCCTCCTTTGTTTAATTCTGCACAGAGAAAGAGTCTGGAAACTCTCCTATTCAAGTAAGCCCACCCCATGAAAATTCTAACCAATCAGCACTGAGTAGCACACGTCACACACCATAACGCCGAGTTTGTCGAACATGGTGACTGAAGCTGAGTTTGTTGCAGCTCTTTCCTCTGTTCTAAATGACTTGGACACGTCTTTAAAACCACAACAAGTAGAAGCGCTAAAACCCTTTCTTCTAAAAATGATGTTTGCGCCATTGCCAAACACCTTTTTGACTACAGCTAAAAGACAACATCGCGCGGTACAATCGGCATTTCCGTCTTTTTTCTGATTGGTTATTTTTGAGCTGCTTAGTCCCGCCCCTCATGTGCCTCTCTGCCTGTGAGTTACCAGACTCTCTCTGTGCAGAATTAAACAGAGGAGGAGCCTGGCTGGCCAAGCTATTCTTTAGCACCAACCTGTCTGATTACGGAGGAACCTGGTTTGTGACACAGAGAACAGCTTTAGCCCTTCAGTCTTAATTGTGACACCATTTCATGACCAGCTCCCATTAGTCCAGGACCACTTTTTGTTTCCTTTTGGTTTGGCTTCGCGCTCCGGACCTGCGTCAATGTCCCGCCTCCTAGCTTAAGTGACAGCTGCTTTTTTCAAAAATGCCAGATGGAGTCTCAATTAGCAGGAAAGGTGGAAAGTAATGGAAATTCAGGACTGTCCCACAGAAAGCAGGAACCTCGGTCACGGTAACGGCAGCATAGCAGCCACTGAGGAAGGCCCAGGTTCAGAGCCTGGGAAAGGTGAGCAGGATGAATGAGACAGGGGACATTAGCTGTATTTTTCTTTTAAAAACATAACATTTAGACATTTTGTAAGGTTTTATATATTACTAATGTGCTAAAAATAACCACAAACCACAAACATTAAAACAAATGTTAAACTTTAGGGGTGCTGGGGTTGAATTAAGGGGTAGTGCTTCAGCACCCCCAAAACAGGCGAGAAATGCCTTTATCAGCTCATAAACAGACCCAAGGGAGAGAAAAAAGACACCTGCTCTGTGCAACATGAGATTACATGATCATATGGACAGCATCATAGATAATACAGGAGTCAATAGCATTCCCTGCGGGTACAAAAATTGTAGTTTTATGCAAATACTTTGCCATGACAATTCAAAATGCTATAAAAGCTAAAGGCACCCTTCCCCAAATCGAGCCGGTCGATTTGGTGTAAGATTTGATGTAAGATTTATAGGGGTTTTAGCCATTCGAGCTGTACAAATAAAGTACATTTTGCACAAATTATGTTGACATACAACTCAAAATGTTAAAATAAGTAAAATCACACTTCCCCAACCGAGCCGGTCGATTTGATGTATGATTTACAAGGGTACACACTTTCGTTCTACCGAATAACATAATAATAATAATAATAATAATAATAATAATAATAATAATAATAATAATAATAATAATAATAATAATAATAATAAAGAATTTGGTCAGTGCATAAATGGTAAATGGCCTGTATTTGATATAGTGCCATCTAGAGTCCTGGAACCCCCCAAGGCGCCTTACAACACAATCAGTCATTCACCCATTCACACACACATTCACACACTGGTGGCGATGAGCTACGATGCAGCTACAGCTGCCCTGGGTTCGCACTGACAGAGATGAGGCTGCCGAGCACTGGCGCCACCGGTCCCTCCGACCACCACCAGCAGGCAAGGGGGATTAAGTGTCTTGCCCAAGGACACAACGACAGCGACAGACTTAGGGGGGCTCGAACCTGCAAACTTCCGATTAAGGGGAGAGCACTTAACTCCTGTGCCACCGTCGCCCTGGTCGGCAAGCCCCTTAATAAGGAGTAAAGTGTGCTCTACCAGGCAATCAGTCAGCCAATTAAAGAACTAATGCACATTACAAAGTGGAAATGATCACCAGCCTGTTTTAAACTTACCATATTTGTTTTTTATTTCGATGATGTAGGTTGTGATGGGTCTGCCACCATCAAATGGAGCCGTCCAACGAACGGTCAGAGTTCTCTCCTTCACTTCTCTTGTTTCAACCTTCAGGGGAAGTGGGCGCCCTAAAAAAAGTCAGAAAAACAAACTTTCATGATGCTGGATTAACAGATAACATTAAAATTAATCTTTTCAATGATCCTTTTGGAGTTTTCAAACTTCAATCTTTACTTTTTCAAATATTTGACACATTTTCAGTAGGGGTACCTGGATTTACTCTGAGAGTTGTCTGATGTTTGTGATCATTGAACCAGCCTGGTATTTCCACCCGACAGCCGTAAACGCCCGAGTCGCCCTCCTGAACCTGAGTGATGGTCAGAGACACATCACCCTCTCCGAGGTCCCCGATAAGGTGGTACCGTTCCGACAACCTGCCGGTCACTTTGGTTCCGTCTGATCTGATCACCTCGTTGGCACAGCCGCTGTTTGGGATGTCTCCCCGGCCCCAGCACACAAACAGGCGGCCGTAGTATTTAGCATCATAGTTGCAGTGTAGCGTAACGTCGGATCCCACTGTGGTTATTATGGTGTTTGCAGACACATAACCTGAAAAGGATAAAGGAATATTTCAGTTCTTCGTCCTAATAAAATATTTAATTTTTACTTCTTACCTGTGAGTAACCAGAAGAGAACACAGCTCCCCAGAATCCGCATGTCTCAGCCTTGGTCTGAATCCGTGATTAGATCACCCAATCAACTCTGAACTGACCACAAAGTGCCCTAAGCTCTGAAGTCTTTCCAAATCACATGACACTGCCCTTGATATGCTCACACCAACAACTTTTGGTGGCAGGGAAGGAGTTCACACAGGAGCTGTTTCCTTTTCTGTGGTTTTGGTTCCTTCTGCAAGAGAAATGCTTCATTTTGATGAGTGGACAGAAAGATCAGGGTTATCAGCAAACACATTTGCACTTGTTTGTTTTCTGTCTCCGTGTCCTTCATCTGGTTATATTCCTCACTCCCTTCCAGAAAGATACAGACACAACAGATTAGATCCAGCTCAAGGTTTCATAGAAAACACTAAACACAGCATCTACCAACACATGCAACTGTGGTCGTAATATCTGTGAAAACGGGTGAGTCATGTCATTTTAAGTTGACGATGTAGATTAGCCGTGGCGGCCACTTTGACTCTGAAGGGAGTCAGTTACAGAAAAACAAGTACTGATAACTGATTAAGATTTTTGTTAAAATATGCTGAGAATTTATGACATGTTGACACATGCATGCACACACACAAGCACGCACACACACACACACTGGCTAAAGCATTAGTGATGGGGAAACAGCAAATTAATTATTATTATTATTATCATCATCAACATCATCATCATCATCATCATCATCATCATCATCATCATCAGTATTATTATTATTATTATTATTATTATTATTACTATTATTATTATTATTATTATTATTATTATTATTATTATTATTATTATTATTGTTGTTGTTGTTCTTGTTGTTGTAGTTGTTGTTATATTCCTCTTTTTCAGTGCTGAGCAAACATTAACGTTTTGAACCCCACAGAGAATTTCCTCAGACGCTGCTTCCTGGTGAAACGTGTGATCCATCCACCCATTTTCATCCGCTTATTTGGAGCCAGGTCGCAAGGGCAGCAGCCTAAGTCGAGAGGTCCAGACTTCCCTCTCCCCAGCCACTTGGGCCAGCTCCTCCGGGGGGAACCCAAGGCGTTCCCTGGCCAGGTGAGAAACATAGTCCCTCCACCGTGTCCTGGGTCCACCGTTAGGTCTCCTCCCGGTTGGATGTGCCCGTAAAATCTCACCAGGGGGGCATCCAGGAGGCATCCTGACCAGATGCCCGAGCCACCTCAACTAGCTCCTCTCGATGTGGAGGAGCAGCGGGTCTACTCCAAGCCCCTCCTGGATGACCGAGCTTCTCACCCTATCTCTAAGGGAGAGCCCAGCCACTCTTCGGAGAAAACTCATTTCGGCCGCTTGTATCTGCGATCTCGTTCTTTCGGTCACTACCCAAAGCTCATGACCATAGGTGAGGGTAGGAACGTTGATCGACCAGTAAATCGAGAGCTTCGCCTTACCAGGAAGGCTCAGCACATCAGCAGTGTGATCTGTAGTGTAAACACATCCTGTAGTCCCCCTTTTTAAATAAGGGGACCACCACCCCGGTCTGCTATTCCAGTGGGACTGCCCCCGATGTCCACACGATATTGCAGAGCCGCGTCAGCCAACACAGCCCCACAACATCTCATCCACCCCTGGAGCCTTGCCACAGAGGAGCTTTTTAACCACCTCAGTGACCTCAGCACCAGAGATTTGAGAGGCCAACCCAAAGTCCCCAGACTCTGCTTCCTCACTGGAAGACGTGTCGGTGGGATTGAGGAGGTCTTCAAAGTATTCTGTCCACCGATCCACAACGTCCTGAGTAGAGGTCAGCAGCACACCATCCCACTATAGATAGTGTTGGTAGCGCGCTGCTTTCCCCTCCTGAGGTGCTGAATGGTGGACCAGAATCTCCTCAAAGCCGTACGGAAGTCTTGCTCCATGGTCTCACCGAACTCCTCCCATGCCTGGGTTTTTGCGTTCGCGACCACCCGAGCCGCGTTCCGCTTGGACTGCCGGTACCCGTCAGCTGCCTCTGGAGTCCCACAGGCCAGAAAGACCTGATAGGACTCTTTCTGCAGCTTGACAGTATCCCTAACCGCCGGTGTCCACCAGCGGGTTCGGGGGTTGCCACCACGACAGGCACCGACGATCCTGCGACCACAGCTCCGGTCGGCCGCCTAAACAATGTAGGCACAGAACAGGGTCCATTCAGACTCAATGTCCCCCGCCTCCCCTGGGACATTTTGGAAGTTCTGTCAGAGGTGGGAATTGAAGCTCCTTCTGACAGGAGACTCTGCCAGACGTTCCCAGCAGACCCTCGCGATACGTTTGGGCCTGTCTGGTCTGACCGACATCCTCCCCCACCATCTGAGCCAACTCACCACCAGGTAGTGGTCAGTTGACAGCTCCGCCCCTCTCTTCACCCGAGAGTCCATGTGATCAGATCGGGACATCCCTAAAACTTTTCTCACACCATCTAAGAGCACTTTTCTCAGAACAATACTGACATTTCATATTAGTCAGCAACTAATTTACAGAATGAATACACAACCAAAGAGGGGGAAACTGGATGGTTTAGCATCTTTTATCATAGAAATTCACTATGTTATTACTATGAAACTGACAAAGTCCTCTAAATAATGGCTGTTGAGGATTTGGCAGGCTGATTAACTGGTTCATCTAGTCCCCATTATAACTGTTAAAACAGTCATAATAGATGGAACTGCAGAGTTTATGTTTGTTTGAACACGTAGTGGAGCAGGTTTGTTGTATGTCCAGCTGACATTCAGATCTAATTAGCGCCTACTGTTTAAACTGCCTGATACAGACTGTTTCGTGACTGGTTTCAGGAATTAGAGTCACCTGACCTGAATCTGTTACCTCCATATCAGGTGCTGATAGGCTGAGACTATGGCTGTTAGATTAGACCAATGATCACAAACCTTAAACTATATAAACATTTTAAGTTAATATTACATTTTTACCAATACCAATCTAAACTTCCTGCATTGCAACAAAACGTGCGGTTACCAAAGGGACAAAGCTCTGGTCTACTTTTCAACCTCCTGATTTGAGTTCAAGAGTCCGGTTAGGGTTAAACAGACGAGATCGGAGCTTCCTCTTCCTTCAGCATGCGGTTCCTCCAAAGTGTTTCAAGTTTCTCAAGTATAACCACACGTCTGTAGAGCTGATAATAATAAATGACACAGAGATGTATTTTTATTATGTAATTATCATGCAAAGCAGTGGAGATAAAATAATAAAACATTTATCTCATAAACCAGAAAGGAACCATCAAACTTGTAAAATCAAGCCACTGAAAATAAATATTTAGACAGAAAAGAGAATTTGGGTTTGAGCTTTCCAGAAAATATAAAACCAAGTTTTCTAATGAGAGAGAAAGAAATGATCAAAGTTAAAATTACACACATGAATTAGTACTTTTAATTTATGTGATTTTTATCAGAAAATACATCAGATGGGCAACAAAATATATTTATTTGTGATAGTTCAGCTTACTTTATATCCTATAAACAGGTTTAAAAGCACCTTTCATCAAGATGACTTTTCACATTATAGTTGTGATATTTAACAAGCCCAACAGATGGCGCTAGATGCACACACAACTTCTGGACAAAAACAGAAACAGAGAGCCTCTGAGGTAATTGTACATCTTCATCTTGTGTCCACACATACACCTCATCGTCGTCTGATGGGGGATTGCTGGATGTGAAACGGGAACCGTCTTGTTCTTTGGTGGAAAGTTAATCATAATACATTTAACTCATGAAAAGCAGCTACTTCTGCACCTTGATCTAAAAAGTTGCTTGTCTTCTATTTCTGAGCATCATTTAGTCGTGAGGATGCTTTCATAAATATTCTCAGCAGCAAAGGTGTCAACATGCTGCTTCCTCCTCGACAGAGCTCTCCTTCCTGCTTTACAGAAACACATAATTAAATACTCGTCCCCCACAGGAAGATTACCATAAATGAATCTGGATGGTAGATTAATCACAATCTATAATCCACTGCTCACTTACTGATAATGAAGAGGAGGGTGATGAATGTGGGGAAGAGGAAAATAACCGCCATCCTGGTGATGTTTCCAATTCCCAAGAAGGCTGAGAATATTCCCTATGGAGAAAAACAGAAAATGCTAAATTATTATTGGAAATGTGTGTATGTGTGTGTGTGTGTGTGTGTGTGTGTGTGTGTGTGTGTGTGTGTGTATAACAGAATCATGGTTAGATGTTGTGGTAAATGTAGAAGTATAATTTTGAGCTAAATGACACTTTTTTAGGTCAAATTTCACCAACATGTGTTAACATTTGTGATCAAAGCTAAATTTACATATTTTACTTCCCTTTAGCCTAAATGAGAATTAAACATGTAAATCATGACAACTTTTCTGGTTTGTTACTTTTCCAGAGGTGGAGATGTATTTCCTGCCAGTTTGTTTTCTTTTCTCTTGATAAGGTCAATATTCAGGATTCTGAATCTGAATTTCAGTTATTGATGGAAATAACTTCTGATTCTGCTACAAGGCCACATTTACAATGGATCAACTATATCATTTAAATAGTTCATGTTTGATTTCACAACCAAATAAGAGCTACATTTATTTCCACCCATCTCGTTTCATGCAGTCGTACCTGTTCGGTTCTCTTTCTCAGCTACATTTAGAAAGCCAAACATTTTTTCATGAATTAACATCTCAGTCAGTGAGTGGACCACGTGCAGAGATAAATAGGATTAGATTTACCAGAAGAAAATCATGTTCCTCACTAAACTGAGTCTGCATCAGTCTTTTATAGGTGCTGATTTTTTATTTATTTGTAGCCATTATTGATCTAAATCAGGGATTCCCAAAGTGTGGTGCGCGCACCCCTGGGAGTGCGCGAGCTGCCGCTAGGGGGTGCGCGAGGTGAAAAGTGTAATGGCTGCGGAGCTCAGAGAAGTCTGTCATGTGTCACCATTTGGGTGGGCCAAAGAAAAAGTAAGTGGGCACAATAAATGTAATTGAAAACAAGTATATTTTTGCGCGCGTGTCCTCCACATGTGCCCTAGCTTCATAATAACAATGCACCGAGCTTCAGCACTCTGGCCTGCGCACGCCGATATGTTCCGTATTTGATCATTTTTAACGGTGTTGAATGAATCTGAAGGAGGTGAGTCATTCTGGCAGATTGTAATTAACACCTGTCTCATGCAGGTGTTCTGACGTTGTAAACCTCACACACAGAACATTGTGGATGTAACAAAATAACAAGAAATGATTCCCATTCAGGGTATTAACAGCGCGCTGAAGTTCTGAAGTTCAGAGTGCGTCTGTCAGAGGTCAGACGTGTTCCAGCGGAACCACGGCTCACGGGTGCACAAGTGAGCACATCTGGGCTGGGCAGAAGTTTAAATAGCGCCAATAACGAGACGCGGTGACTTGAGCGGCTGGGCCGCGCGCGCACACACACACACAGATGCAATAAGCGCACACGCTGCTTTAACTCCGGCGTGCCGTCAGACTGAAGGCAGAAATGAACGCTGCCTCCACCGTGATAACAACTTTTAAGAGGTTATTTTTCATTCAAGGTCAAATTAAGATATTAGCTTCTGGGATGAGTCGGGTCCGCTACAGCCAGTGACTCCTCATGAACCTGACCACAAGTCCTGTTACTGCAGCATTTGTTATTCCAGTCAGCGTGGCAGCGGATCGCAGATTCAGCCACACCATAAAACAGCAATAAGTCGGTCTGAGGTAAAAGTGAACATCATGGCTATATCTTGTCCCCATAGACATTTGATTACGCACAAGTAGGTGATCAGCTCAGGTTTACACAGAGCAGAAGGAAGGAGAGCGCTCTGGCCGCACAGGTTAAACATTCCGACTTTAAGAAAACCGTTAAATTGCATTGTTGATGTGCTACATGGGCACTCTAAATATTTATTTATAATGAAATCAAAGGAAATTGTAATGGTATCGAATGTTTATTAATTACTAAAAATGAAAGTGATGGGGAATTTTTTTTACCCCGTCTGTTTAGCTTGACATCTGATATATATATATATATATATATATATATATATATATGTATGTATATATATATATATATATATATATATATATATATAGAGAGAGAGAGAGAGAGAGAGAGAGAGAGAGAGAGAGAGAGAGAGAGAGAGAGAGAGAGAGAGAGAGAGAGAGAGAGAGCCATGCCCCGATGTGGGGGCGGGGGGTTGCGTCGACATGGTCGGGACATAGAAGGGGGTGCGCAGCTAAATAAGTTTGGGAACCACTGATCTAAATGATGTCAAAGATCTTTTTAAAATGTTGTAATGAACACATGGTCAATTTTATTTGTGTAGCAACTTTAAAACAGCTGTTGTTGACCAAAGAGCTTCACAGCATTACAAACAAATCACAATACAAAAATAAAAATGAAATAAAACAAAGCGACTAGGTTTTAATATAAAAACAAACTTACAATAAGTGCGATGAAATGTTTAAAATCATTAGCTTACATCATCTGTTCCACTTTGGATCTTCTCTATTGTTGTAGGACTTTCTGTAAAGAGAAGGTAGTTTAGGGTTGATGCCATCCATTCATGAACCAAAAGCCTAAAACTCTTCATGTTGCTTTTTTTTCCAAACCAAAAATGTCAAATAATTTTGAAGTATACTGGTCAAATGATGGCTGGTTACCTTTTGTTGTTTCAGATGGTTTCTCTGGAGGAGCTTCCATTACCAGTTGTGTGTTAACCTTCTGGTCATTATACAACCCAGGAACCTCCACCCTGCATCCATATACACCAGCATCGGCCCTCTGAGCATCCATGATGGTCAGGGACAGTTCACCCTCTGCGACTCGTCCCAGTAGCTGGTACTTTAGGGACGTTCTGAAGATCACATCCCCATTTTTGAATGAGAGGATTGTGTTGGAGCATTTGGACCACGGCACCGCCCCACGTCCCCAGCAGAAAGTTAAACCTCCATTGGTTTGGGTGTCATATCTGCAGGGCAAAGTTATATTTTGCCCAACTTGACCAATGACTTTGATGGAGCAGGACGCTGCTGTGAAAGGAAGACACTGGTGGTTTAAACACTCACACCTACAGACCCACACACCAACATTCAACATGCAAGCAGCAGCAACTAGAAAGTCCCAACATATTGATTTACCTTGGATCAGGATCAAGAAGGAAAGATGAGAAATGCATCGCATGTGTGTAGGATATTGCATAAACATGTCCTGAAGAGAGGATACAAAGATTTTTCTCCCCCATATAAACCCTGGGACCGACTGAGCAGCGCTGCACCAAATCTTTCTGTTTCTTTTAGAAAAATGAGGAAGGAAATCAATATGTCATGCCAACCTGCTGGCTCAACTTCTTGATCTGTGCTCTGGAAAACATAATCTGCAACATCTGCTGCTATTAACAGATCCAGACTCAATTAAATACAGAATTTTGTTGGAATATGTAAAAAAATAAGCACAAACGAGGGATTTATGTATTTAAAAGTACAAGTTTTCATTTCTTAAAAACATAAAGAGCAAGTTTACAAACCAAAAGGAAACAGGATGCATGAGTAACAGTCATGACATAACGACATTTCTCAAGAAAACCACAGAACGATAATAATAATATGAATAGTTCCACTTTTATCACATTTCTCATTTAGCAAGTTCTCATTCAAGAACAAGTCACCAAAATCAACTTTTTTTGCTGATAACTTGTATAAATATGTGTATTATAGTGTTGTAGACATGTGTAGCTGTTATTTTTGCATTTTGGTGCATTTTCTTTAAAAACTTCAAATTCAGCCTAAAACCTTCAGTCCAGCACCCTCTTCAGCTCAAAAATATTCTACACAAATTTACAACACCAGTCTGAAATCTGTCTCGACCAATGGGTGAAAGGTCCAATGCAACGTAACCAGGTCTCACGTAAGGTGTCAGACCTCTGTGGCTGTAGGTTATAAAAGCATCGGTCTCAGCCAGGCTTGTAGCAGTGGACTCGTATTAGCCACAAGTGAGTGTTTACGCTGTAGCTTAGCTGTAGTTAGCATTGGCATTGGGTCAGGGTCCCAATGCTAATGCTACTGTCACATAGTATTATAATTATTTAGTACTAGCAGCTTGGCTGTTAATAATGTAGTTTAGTGTTTTTTACATGTGACTCTTTCACCAACTTGATGGAGTTTGAACTGGGTTATGCTGGTTTGAAGAGAGTTTCACAAATTAGTCCCAGCCGGTCCAGTAATTAGCCAGATCCCACCTACTGCCGCTTCATCTGTTGCATGTGTTGAAGTGTAGCAGCATTTTGGATAACATTTTTTTTCTTCACTGCGAGTGAAAGGATTCAAATCCTCCCTTTGGTCCATGATGTTCATAGATGAGCTTTGATGAATGTTATCACACCATGTTCACACTGAACAGTTCCTTCTTCTCTCCAAATGCTGTTTCTGCTATTTTTTTCTGTACAATCAAAAATATTTAACAGGTTTCAGATGCTCCTCAAAGCGACAAAAACCTGACAGCATTTATTATGTCATAATTCTAGAGAACAGACCCGTTTTTGGTTTTGTTTGAGCTTGTTCTCCCTTTACTGTCTTTTTATCTCGTGTCTCAATTCTTTTCATGAACAATTTTAGAAGACAGGTTTCCACTCTTCATTGCTCCCTTTACGAGTGTTCAAATGACTATTTAGTTCATTAAGTTAACCTTAAGCGAGTGACCAAAATCACAAGTAAAGTTTTAATGCGTGTGAAATCTTCAGGTGTCAGAATTTTTACGCCAACATGAATAAAAAACATTTGCTGATCATTTTAAATGTAAATATGTGCACAGCTCTTTACACACAGTCGTGTAAGAGGCACAGCAGATACACCTTCAGTGTGAATGTGTGTAAGAACAAAACAGATTTAATCACTGAAATAGCTTCTTTATGTCAGAGAATAGCAGCTTAACGAGGATGTCATTAATGTGTGTGAGAAGGCCTGGCGTGTGTGTGTGTGTTCTTGTTTTTGTTTCTGCATTGAGACCACTGCTGGAATAATTACCAGCCTTATGGGGACCAGCCCAGTGCTAATTGGATAGCTACAGAAGCGTATGTGTTCTGAGGTGGTGGCTCATTTCATTTTAAATGGTGTCATTTGGTTTTGTGATGGGTAAATTAACTCATCGTTGCTCCTTTTAGGGCTCCACTTTGCCATTTCTAATCAACAATGTGCTCCCTTGTGCAGTTAGGTCTAACCGATTTCTGTTTTTATTACTCTCTGGAGGTTTGAAGTACTTGTACTATGCTAGGCTACTCTATATAAACCCCCCCACTGATTTCTGTAATGTTCTTAGAAATACTGATCCTCAACTTCCCTACTTGGAGAAAAATGTGACTCGGCCTATCACGAGTTCAGTCCTACAGCTTCACCCAAGTCAGCTTCTTCCTTTAGTAGGAGACATGTTCAAACTCTCTGCAAGAAGGAAAACAGCATACCGGTATTATTACTTCTGTAAAAGTCCATGCACCCACTATCTGCACCGGCTTAGCCTCAAAAGGGTCTTGGGGAGTTGACACCTGACTCCTACCGCCACCATGATTTAACTAAGCAAATAGGTAGGAGCCTTTTATTGGATAATTACTGCATGGGTGATTATCTTTCGGGTGGTTGTGGAAAATATGTTAGTCTGTTTGAGAAGAGTCAGATCATTGCAGAAATGAATAAAACTGGGTTAATGATTGTCCAACGCATTATGAAAGGATAGTGGGGACCCATGGTCTTCAAGGAAGAAATGTGGCTGGAAAAAAAATCCCGAATGATCTTGATCAGCGATCACTTAAAACGTTTGGTTAAATCAAATTGAGGTAAAACAACAGTAGAACTCAGGGATACGTTTAATGGTGAAAGTAAGAGTAGTTCCACACGCACAATGGGAAGGGATGGGACTGAACAGCTGTGCAGCCGTAAGAGTAATGGGGGCATCATGTAAGATGAGAGGCAGATGAGAGGTAAGAATGAGGTCAGCTGACTACCTGAATACACTGAATGACCAGGTTATTTCTTTTCCCTGATGGCGTGGGCATATTACAAGATGACAATGCCAGGATTCATTGGGCTCTAATAGTGAAAGAGTGGTTCAGGGACCATGAGACATCATTTTCACACATGGAGCAGCTACCATAGAGTCTAGACCTTAACCCCATTGAGAATCTTTGGGATGTTCTGGAGAAGGCTTTGTGCAGCAGTCGGACTCTACCATCATCAATGTAAGATCGATTCAACACTGGATGGAAACAAATCTTGTGACACTGCAGAAGCTTATCAAAAAAACACCACAGCGAATGTGTGTCGTAATCAAAGCTAAAGGTGGTCCAACGAAATATTAGTGTGTGACCTTTTTTGGCTAGGCGGTGTATAATTATACTCTTTCCTGTTGTGCACTGCAGAAATCCGCACAACCCATACTGCATGAACAATAAATCTACTTTTGGGTATGCATTATGTTTTAATCATAAATTACAAACATGTCAGGCACTGACATTTGACAGTGCAGGTGTATTGCAGCATGATATAAAAAACTTCTGTTAATTTCAAAAGTGCACTCCAGTAGATTAAATGATCAACGCTGGAATACTTCCAAGGTGGGTAAGAAGCAGAAACACAGTAGGACCTGAGTTTGCAGAGTCCAGACCAGGAAGCAGAGTGGTAGTATAACACACCCCTTGTGCTGACTTATGGCAAAGAGTGTGAGGAAATAACAATATTTCCACATAATCCAGTCCTCTCGGACCACTTCTTGATAACCTTTGAGTTTTTTTATAACTGAGTTCTCGAGACTTGAAAGTAAATTTCACTATAGTCGGTTTCTATCTGACAACGCTGTTGCATCTTTTAAATCAACTGTTCCATCTTTACTGTCCTCAGCATCTCAGAGGAACATAGCAGAGGGCAATATTTTTATTTCTAGCCCTTCACAAATTGATGATCTAGTTCATGTTATTTCTTCTTCACGTGTGGCATTAGATGATGTTGCCCCTTTAAAAAAGAAGGTAATGAAGCACAGGAAGTTGGCTCCCTGGTTTAATTCTCATTTACAAACTTTAAACAAAACTCTAGAAAACTGGAGAGAACATGGTGCTCTACACACCAGGAGGAGTCTTACTTATCCTGGAAAAATAGTCTTGTGCTTTATAAAAATAAGCTTTGACAAGCTAGAACTGCTTATTTTTCATCGCTAATTGAGAATAAGACTAATCCTAAATTTATTTTCAGTACAGTTGCCAAACTTACACAGAATCATAGCTCTGAACCATCTATTCCCTTAGCCCTCAGCAGCAACGACTTTATGTGATTTTTTACAAGTAAAATTAATTCTACTAGAAAGAAAATCTTTAGCATCCTCCCTAATGGGAGTTCTTCTTCCTCAGTAAGTAAGGCAGCATCAGAGGTAACTGTAGAACCTCATCTGTGTTTGAACTGTTTTGATCCAGATGAGCTTTCAGAGTAATCAAAAATATTAGCTTCATCTAAACCTTCAACTTGCATTTTGGATCCAATCCCAACCAAATTATTTAAAGAAGCATTTCCTTTAATTACTGCCCCCATTCTAGATATAATCAATCTATCCTTAGTAAATGGATATGTACCACAGGATTTTAAGGTTGCTGCAATCAAACCTTCACTTAAGAAACCTTCTCTGGATCCAGATGACCCAATGAATTATAGACTAATATCCAACATTCCATTTTTATCCAAAGTCCTTGAGAAAATAGTGGCCATCCAAGTATGTGAGCATTTAAACACTAATGATCTGTTTGACAAATTTCTGTCTGGTTTTAGAGAGTATCACAGCACTGAAACCATTAGTTAAAGGTGCAAATTATATTCTTATGGCCTCAGATACGAATATTGTGTCTGTTCTAGTCTTGTTAGATCTCAGTGCTGCTTTTGACACAGTTGATCACAATGTTCTTTTAGAAAGGCTTGAAAATGTTGTAGGGATCAAAAGAACAGCTCTAGGTTGGTTTAAATCTTACCTGTCTGATAGATTTCATTTTGTAAATGTACATGACAAATCTTCATATTCCAGGGTTACTTGTGGAGTACCACAGGGTTCAAATCATTAGACAGCATGGGACAAACTTCCACTGTTATGCTGACGATACTCAGTTATATCTATCCATTAACCCTGGTGAACCTAATCGGTTAGGTAGATTACAGGCTTGTCTCGAAGACATAAAAAACTGAAAGAATCAAAACATTTTGCTTTTAACTCAAGACAACACTGAAGTTCTCATATTTGGACCAGAAATTCAGAAAAGGAAATTGCTTGGTCAATCACCTGACCTGAATGGCATTAATTTAATCTCCCACCTCCTTAATACCTCCTTTAGCTTAGCTCCCACCTCCGCGTTAGCTTTGGGTTAGCTTGTAGCTACATTGCTTCAGTTCGACGGGTGTTGTCATTTGATCCCAGCCTTACAGCCCCATCCTAAGCTCCACCTCTTTTCCCTTTTATGGAGTTGTCTGGGCGTGACGAGACGTGTGAAACAACCAAAATAGCGGGGGTGGCCACCTCTCATTTCAGATTGAAAACTTATAATACGAGCCTATGGACAGGAATTGTCCAGTATATATGTTGATGGGATGAATACAACAAAGT